TGATACTGAGCTGTTGCTCGTGCTGAGTCAGATCCACGTGTCATCGTCTCAGTAGGTTGGGTCAAATCATCCTCCATCACCTAACTTTCTTGATCTCCTTTGGCATTGGTCCTCCCTCACTGGTTTGTCAGTGGCGTTGGTTGTCAGAACTCGCAACGACAATCTCTCCTCTCCATTTTCTCCGCCCTATGTCGGGTAGTTCTCCCTTCTCTCTCTCTAAATCACCAACATGCAGGACAACACCAAGCTCTATTCAGTGTTCACGGTTCAGGGCCAGCTTCAGAGTTCAAGCAAAGAAAACCGCCATTGCTGTCCCATTTTGTTTTGCCCTCTAGTGAGTAGCAACCAGTGCTCCCATCGGCCACTGCTCCGTCGTCCAAGTTCAGCTATTTATTTTTTTGTTTTGCATAACATTGAACCTATATATAGTCTGAACCCATGTAAAATCCACATGCAAATGAAACACCGACACGTTCTCTGATGATTGATTACATGACCCATCATATTGGTTTGTGCCTACAAAATTCACAATTGCCTAGCCATGGACAGAGTTAAGGGTGTTAATGAACCGGTTTTGGATTGGACTTCGTCCAGTCCAAAATCAATTTGAATGGATTGGATGGGTCAACAAAATATATTGGATTGAACCAATCCGGTCCAAAATATTTATTAGATTGGATTGGACCTAGTCCATCCGTGACAAATTTATATTCGATTGGGATGGATTAAGCCAATATCCAGTCTATTGGTATAAGATAAGAATATATGTGTCAATGGATCGGGTTTGGATTGGACAGTTCAGACATTGAATTGGACCAGTCTAAATTGGTCCAAAACATTCATTGGATTGGATTGGACCTGATCCATTTATAATTGATTCACATTGGACTGGATCGGATTGGACCAAATCAAGTCCAATTGACACCCCTAGACAGAGTAATGCTAGCTTGCACAAAATGTCAAAATTGCCTAAAATCTATCAAAATATATACTACAAATCATGTTGAATTGACTCTAGCTGAGTGGCTGACATTTTAATTTCCTAAACTTTACCAGTTTGAGTCATCTAACTTTATACAAAACATGCACCCATATACTCAAATCTAAATCTATGATTAGTGGAAGTTATTTGGTTAAATTCAGGGTTGGTTCATCATATTCAAAATAAATWAAAAATCACATGTGTTTATATTTGTTGTACTTAGGTATTCAATACTCTTTATTTTGAAAAACTGGGCATATATGGTGTATATAGATGACATAGTCCAAATTTGCATACCTTCATGTGATCCAGTTCATCATTTACAGACCTTTGATGTTCTTTAATTTTGTATTCATGCATGATCCAATTAGTTTTTATTCCTCTTTGGGTTAATCCTCTGTAAAAGACCAAGATTTCTTAACACCAATGTTCATTCCATTCCTCTTTGTAGAATGCTTTTGGCATGCCCCCCTATGGATATTTTCGATCCCCCAGTGTATAGAAATACCATTCTTGCTCTTACTCTCCTGTGTGTCTATATTTTTCTACAAAATAAGTGACAGGAATATCATCTAATATGACTTGGATAAAATTATAGATAACAAAAGCAAAGGTAAACCCACTTTGTCTTGGGCTTGGGTCAAGGCATCAAGCATCCCAAAGCAACCCATCATTCCATAATATGTTTTTCCTATGTATGTATATAAATTATGTGTTTATGCCTGTCTCTCATTCTATTTATATATTCAACCACAAAGCTTTGAATTGTTGTCCATATGAAATATAGTTGTACAATATTAGAATCAAATGACTATCCCAAAACCCACTAATTGTTCTCTTGAAAGAGTTGTTGATTCGATT